TGCAAGTTAGTTTTTTACCACTTATTACTCTCAAGTCCTTTCCCCTGTTTAAAGCATGCTTTTTGGGTGAGGCTTTACATGCTTTCTTACGTTACAGGTCTTTTTTTCTAATTTCGCAAGTAGTTCTATACTTGGAAACAAATAGAGTTTGTTCTTTCATCAGGCTTTGTTTCGCTCCAGTTTTATCACTTAGTGGGTCGTGGATTAAAAGCATTTTTTCTTTGCAGTCCTGAGAAAGAATCTGCGGGCGGTAATATTTTCAAAATATGCGGAATTCAAGCATGCGGGGCTACGAAAATTTGCCTTTTTTGAGCAGGCACATTGTAAAGGGACATACGCATCTACCTTTGATTGGTTATTTTGGTATTTGTGTTGTGTAGATGAGTGTACCTTTTTGCACTATTGCGGGAACAGAAGTCTGTGTCTAACTCCCCACATCTGATTGATTTCTTTCTGCCCATAAATGATGCGAAATTGTGTCAGACCAGTCAAACTTTAAATGAATTACGGTGCAAAAGGCACTTGCACGAGCTGCATTTTTTTGTACATCAAATTAAAAAAATTCTTCGCATCAACTTTCATTTATCCTTGCATTAGACTTAGAGGCGACGAAGGATGGTGGTGGGAAGCTGTAAGTTGATTATATTTACCAACACACTGGCTTGGACCATGCTTACAAAATTTCAACCGTTTGGCTATTTTGGTTGCGGAGCTAAAAAATTCTTCGCCTCAACTTCCAAATGACTGTATGTGGAAAAAACTGGGAAAAGGGACGTCATTGAATTAACTCTTAACCTATCCTCAAACAGTTGTCTACCCCCTAACTGTAAATTTTAACTTTTTCTTCATCACCGCGTCTTTTTTCATCCTACCTCTTGGATGGCTACTGATCGAATTGACTTCATAGAGACCAGACCCCGCCACCGTCGCACAGCAGACTTGGATTCCTGCTGTGAACGGAGGGCCAACTGCTCTGGGCCAGTGAGTAGGCCGTATGTTACGGCGTCGCCTCCTGAACTCACTTCCTTCTGTGAAGTTCAGTTCATTGTTAGTCGCGCAGCGGAAGCGTTGCTGTTTCCCTTCCCACGACATTTGTCCCTAAACCGGGGTATTCGAAATGTATTGGTTTAGGATTAGGTTTTAATGAGGCAGATTAGAAATGGAGGGCGAGAATGGAGCGGGCAGGCAGTTGTGTTGGACATGTGGGCGTGTATTACTTAAGCCACTTCAGATTGCACTGGTGTTATTGTGTGCTGTCTGGTTCAGTAACCCAACTTTGTGGTTCACCCGTCTCGTGAAACTGTTTTTTGAAAGTGCTAAAAAAGCAGGAACAGGGCGCAGTATTCAGCTGTGCAGGCAAAGATTTTCCTGTGTTGCTTCACTTGATGTGTTCTGAACGGCAGTCACCTCTGAGTTAATGTTTGGATTCGGTCCGGAAGCCAGAATTTTTACTGTTTAATAGCTTCCGTGGATGTGGAAGAGGAAATACGTGAACATACATACATTACATATCACATCTATGTACATATAATTGTCCACGTATTTCGCCCGTATATGAAGATCGTATTGAACTCTTGGGAATGGCCCTTAGATTATGACAATTTGGGGCTTTCAATATTTTTTGAAAATGCTGATGTTTCACTTACTGTTTGACTGTGTAG